TCAAGTGTAAGCCCATTATAACGGCAAACATCCTTGGAGCTGGCCATATATAAGGACACGAACTACACATATTGAATCAAAGACAGTAACTCATATATCAGGGCTTTTACCAAGGTACCTAATACAACCAACAATTAACAATTTACCTAATAATAACTATGTGGAGCTATTTCTAATGTATTTAAAACGACGTTATCACTCATATATATAATAAACTCCAACAAAACGAACTAACCTCGCGGAACCAGCCATTTTTTAAATACTAAAGAATTCCTGTTTAAAACGAACTGTTCATTTGGTCCTTAACACATATACTTCCTGTGGTTTCAAGATTCAGACATCGTAATAGTTGCCTCTATAATTCCTTTCTTTAGGGTTACGGATTAAAGAAAGGCGGACAAAAGTCCTCATCAAACCCAAAGATAGTGGAACCTCTAGAAGGCATTTACATTCAACAAGTGGCGTGCGGATTAGGCCACACCCTGTTCATTGCACGTGACGAGGAGAACGATCGAGCGCTACTGGATAAAATACCGGTGTACGATCCTGACAAGGTAAGATTCTATTTTCGTAGCAAGCGCTCCCTGTCTCGCGAACCTTATTCGCCAATGGGGATATATGGCGCCAACTTTGGCCTGTGCAGTTTTTAGGCACATAAGGTGTCCGTGTGATTGTTAGGAGAAAACGTTACCAACCAATGAGATAGAGAAGCTCCGAGTTGTTTGTCAAATTCATTAGAAAGTGAGCACGATGGTTCATTGTAACGAAGCGCGCGTGTTTGATCCAGGCTAGAGCCATTCTTGTTTATATCAGCCCGACTCGCGAGGCTTAAATCGATCTCGTGCACGAAGCGCTTCCCAAAATGACCGGTGGATAACGAGCGTCTCACTGTTAAACGTGCGCGTCGTACTCTTTCTCTTTGACCTCGTGCGTGTAACACGCGAATCCCGCGTTCCCTACGTTTAGCCTGGGCGCTCGAGCCTTGGACCCTCCGTAACTGCTGGATTGTAACTGAGTTCACAATGTTAGGCTTTTTCGCACCCGTGATGTCTTGCATCACGCAATGTTTTTCCTTGCTAATGCACAAGAAAGTTGTTTGACGCTCGAAAGAAGAGTGTGGCTTCCAGAGAGTGATCAAGAATGGTCACGGCACTTTTGTTGCAATGGGCGCTGTGTCTGACGCCTTGGCGTTATTGTTGTCTGTTTTGTAGGTATGAAAGCTGTGGATGTGTTGCTTTGGTTTTCGTCCTGAAATGCCGCGCACTTCACGACCACTGAATGAGCTGTCATGTCACAAGTCACGTGATCCCATGCATGCGTTGTAGTTACTAACTCCAACCTGTTAAAAGTATCAATTTCGTTGCACGAATAAATAGTTTATTCTGTTTCTTTAGGTAACCTTAGACAATACTTTAGATGAATCGTACGCGAGCCTTTGTATTTCTCCTTTCGACGCAACATTGGACTGGGTGCAAAAATTGCTGCTTAGTTAATAAGTTTGTCTGTTACTGTTAAAGAGCTGCCGCAAACCTGCAGCTGTCGAAGCTCAGCATCCTATGCTCGATATTGGCAAAGCCCAAAGCATGATTCATCTTCATGGTAATGAGCTGTCGTCAGATCGTCATCGCAACAAGCTGACGTCACAGCTTTCGTGGCGCTCCAACCCACTTCTGATTGGGCATTAAATTCCGAAAATTCCTGCCACTTGTACGGGAATTCGTAGGAAGCAAAACTTGCTGTATGATATGATTCGGACTATGTTGCATGTATCATAAAATGGGAGGGTTTTTGTTCTTTAAAACTACTACTTAGAAAAAGCTATTATCCCCGAAGCACAGCAATACAACGGTAGCTTCTCTCTTATGTTGCTTATGATCAGATATTACTTTCAGGCCTAAACAAGAGACCAATACACGACAAGTCATGCCCATGAAAATCGCTTGTGATCTATTTATAAGTCGTATATATTGTTACCATTTCTATCGTCATCTTCGAATTCAGTACCTCTCATCTCTAAAATCTCTCAGAACTTGTGAAAAGGTAATCTGTGCTTGACAGATAACTGATAGTTCGGAGTGAAATCTCTGTGAGGGAGGGATGTTAAAGGGAACACTTTCTCTCGTAATTGTCTTCTGTATTAAATATTTCAGAAAATATCTGTATGTTCAATTTTGTGTAAGTGCCTTTTCCTTTCTTTCGCAAAACATCATCAGGCTGTATATTTGTTAGTAATGGTTAGAAACTTTGTAATTGTGGGACAGAGATTTGGTGACAGCTGAAGAAAGCCGAATATTGTACATTTAAATCTATAACAAGAAGAAAAATTTCAAAGTTGACGTCAGAAAAGCAATAATAGTGAAAGTTTATTTATTTTGCAGAGCTCTAAAAGAATCAAAGTATTGATTAAAGTGAAGATTGTTGACTCCTAAGTTATCAATGTTATTGTTACGGCGCCATGTGCAATAAAATCAATATAAAACGGTTATCTGCAGGTTGTTCTGAACTTTTACAGACTGAAACCTCCAGATAGGGGATACCCTCGGGATAATGAAAGGTGCCCCTTAAAGGGAGGTACCCTTCTAATTAGAGCTCATCGATACAAAGAGGTATCTTGCTACCGGGCAAACGGTTTTGTTCTCTTAAAGGTGGCGGCCCTTAATATATGTGTCCCAAAGTAAAATTTCTACTGTAGTGTAAGTAAGGAGAGCTGAGATTGAAGTTGAAGGTTGTTTTCTACAACTGTTTGGAGAAAGCTTGTCGGAATAAAGCGTAAAAGAGCACACAGTAGAGAGCTGCTGCTCACGCTGAATACTTAAGCATAAAAAAAGTCGCAAACGTCAATTCTTAGGTTTTCTTCTTCTTCAGACTTTTCGAAACAGTTTTTAAACCAAACTACGAAACAGTAAAAGAACGGTGTTATAAGTTTTGATGTCTAATATGTCCTTCCTAATACTTCACGTGCAAAAGTACAAATTTGTAGATTTCCTCTACACCGACACGCAAAAATCCAATGACTACCCAGACTACCATTCGGTCATGCCGCGTGGGCTTGACGCTTTCATCCAACAACTTTTCTCGAAACAGCTGTATACAAACAGACCCAGCAAAGTAACGGTCACACGAGACAACGCGCGATTGAAGCCCGTGCGCACGCCGGCCTTTTGCAAACAATTCAAGAAGCTAAAAGAGCTTACAATTGTGCCTAGGAGTTCAAAAAGTAAAAATCACCTTTTTGCATGATGAGTCCCGATACAAAACCACGGTGAAACCTTTCGAAAACACGGGATGTGAGTCGCCTAAAAGTACGAGGCTTCCGTGAATGATCGGGAAGGCACTGTCGGGCGGTAGAATAGATTTTGGAAAGGCACTGGAAACGAGACCTGTTGAGCCGCACCATAGTTAATAGAGGAGAATGGTGATGAAACCCTACAAAGTTCTTTGTTGTACGTTTTTGTTCACTTGTTTGGCCCTCACAATGCACAAAACACAATAGTTGTTTACTTCTGACGGATAAACCAATAGTAGCGTTTTGGTTCCGCAACTCATACATAGAGTATGAGCATAAAACAAAAGATTGTGCCTGGTTGTGGACCTTCCAACATAATTCTTGGCATCTATGTTTGCTCCTATGGTGTTGGCCGGTTTTTATAAGCAATCCCCTCAGTTAACCATGGCTACACAGATCGAAACCTGGGCACATTTTGGGAACAAAACAAAATAAACGTACAGTGATTTCCTTACTTCTTTATTGAGACATCCCGCGATTAAGTATAGTAACATCCCATTTTACAGATATACATTATGCTGCAAGACCCACACTACTATAACAAACAATCACTAAATATGGAAACAAAACATTACGCCTCAAGACAACCTTGACGTCACACAACGGCAAGCGTGCAACTTTCTTCTGGTCTTAAATTCCTGACTAACCATGGAAAACTATTGGAAAGAAATCAACAAAATTGCGATGTTTACAATTGAATCACTCGATAACTTATTTTCAAAAAATTCAATGCAAAAATGCAAACGACAGTTTCAATCAAGTGACTCAAGTGATTGGTAATTTCCTTTTAAGGAGAGAGGACCCCGTATACGCTGTAAAATGTAATGCCTTTAACAAGCGCGGGCAAAGTTTTCATGCGATTGAGCTCGTGATTGGCCAAAAAATGCTTCAGCTTTGCTCTGATTGGTCAGAGAATGTCGAACAGCTTGTGTCATTTTATCGAGAGCTGTAGCGAAAGAGTCACATAAAGGAGGAAGAAACTTACCTTGATCGCAGAATATTCCGCTCCAGTCAGGATCACACCCACCGGGTAAGAGATTCTCGTCCATATCTACTTTCTTTTCTCTCGTAAGTTCTCGCGCGTTTAGAGATGCGCAACACTCGCGTTTTAGGTGCGGGAATCCCAACCAATGCTTACCTAACTTTTAAAAGATGCTACTTTTAGCCCTCCCCCAAACCTACACACGTGCATTTCACTTGTGAAAGTCTATCGATTTAGAAAGTGCTTGGGTGAGAAATTCTCGCCCTTATCAACTTTCTTTTCTCTCGTAAGTTCTCGCGCGTTTAGAGATGCTCCACACTCGCGTTTTACGTGCGGGGATCCCAGCCAATGCTTACCTAACTTTCTAAAGATGCTACTTTTAGTCCTCTCCCAAATCTATGCACGTGTGTTTTACTTCTGGAAGTCTATCGATTTGGACAGTGTTTGGGTTGGAGATTCTCGCCCATATCAACTTTCTTTTCTCTCGTAACTTGTCACGCGTTTAGAGATGCGCCACACTCGCGTTTTAGGTGCAGGAATCCCAACCAATGCTTACCTAACTTTTTAAAGATGCTACCTTAGCCCTCCACCAAATCTACACACGTGTATTTCACTTGTGGAACTCTATCGATTTAACCAGTGCTTGGGTAAGAGATTTTTGCCAATATCAACTTTATTTTCTCTAGTAAGTTCTCGCGCGTTTAGAGATGCGCCACACTCGCGGTTTTGGAGTCAGGATCTCAAACTATGCTTATTTAATTTTTTAAAGATGCTAGATTTGGCCCTTTCCCAAATCTACACACTTGTATTTTACTTCTGGTAGTCTGCGGCTTTGGACAATGCTTGGGCTGAAGATTTCCGCCCATTTATAAGTTTTTTTCTCTTGCGTGTTTTTGCGCGTTTAAAGATGCGCCACACTCGCGATTTCGGTGTCGACATCTCAAACTATGCTTACTGGACTTTTTGAAGATGCTAGATTTGGCCCCTTCTCAAATCTAAACACTTGTATTTCACTTGTGGAAGTCTATTGATTTGGACAGTGTTTAGATTGGAGAGTCTCGCCCATTTATCTTTTTTTTCTCTCGCGTGTTTTCGCTGGTTAAAAGATGCGCCACACTCGTGTTTTAGGTGCGGGGATCCCAAGCAATCCTTACCTAACTTTTTGAAGATGCTACTTTTAGCCCTCCCCCAAATCTACACACATGTGTTTTACTTCTGGAAGTCTATCGATTTGGACAGTGTTTGGGTTAAAGATTCTCCCACATATCAACTTTCTTTTCTGTCGCAAGTTGTGGCGTGTTTAGAGATGTGCCGCACTCGCACTTTAGGTGCGGGGATCCCAACCAATGTTTATCTAACTTTACAAAGATGCTACTTTTAGCCCTCCCTCAAATCTACATACGTGTATTGCACTTGTGGAAGTCTATCGATTTGGACAGTGCTTGGGTAAGAGATTCTCGCCCATATCAACTTTGTTTTCTCTAGCAAGTTTCGCGCGTTTAGAGATGCTAGATTTGGCCCTTTCTCAAATCTACAAACGTGTATTTTACTTGTGGAAGTCTATCGATTTAAACAGTGTTTAAACTAGAAATTCTGGCCCATATCAACTTTCTTTCCCCTCGATCGTAAGTTCTCGCGCATTTACAGATGCGCCACACTCGCCTTTTAGGTGCGGGGTTCCCAACCAATGCTTATCTAACTTTATAAACATGCTACTTTTAGCCCTCCCCCAAATCTACACAGGTGTATTTCACTTGTGGAGGTCTATCGATTTGGACAGTGCTTGGGTAAGAGATTCTCGCCCATATCAGCTCTCGTTTCTCTAGTAAGTTCTCGCGCGTTTAGACATGTGCCACACTCGCGGTTTTGGAGTTGGGATCTCAAACTATGCTTACTGGACTTTTTGCAGATGCTAGATTTGGCCCTTTCTCAAATCTACACACGTGTATTTCACTTCTAAAAGTCTACTGATTTGGACAGTCTCTGTATTGGAGATTCTCACCCATGTCAACTTTCTTTTCTCTCGTAAGTTTTCGCGCGTTTAGAGATGCGCCACACTCGCGTTTTAGGTGCGGGAATCCCAACCAATGCTTACCTAACTTTTTAAAGATGCTACTTTCAGCCCTCCCCCAAATCTACACACGTGTATATCACTTGTGGAAGTCTATCGATTTGGAAAGTGCTTGGGTAAGAGATTCTCGCCCATATCAACTTTGTATTCTCTAGTAAGTTCTCGCGCGTTTAGAAATGTGCCACACTTGCGATTTCGGTGTCGGGATCTCAAACTGTGCTTACTGAACTTTTTAAACATGCTAGATATGGCCCTTTCTCAAATCTACACATGTGTATTTCACTTCTAAAAGTCTATCGATTTGGACAGTGTTTGGGTTGGAGATTCTCTCCCATTTATATGTTTTTTTCTCTCGTGTGTTTTCCCGCGTTTAGAGATGCGCCACACTCGCGATTTCGGTGTCGGCATCTGAAACTATGCTTACTGGACTTTTTGAAGATGCTAAATTTGGCCCTTTCTCAAATTTACACACGTGTATTTAACTTGTCGAAGTGTATCGATTTGGACAGTGTTTAGGTTGGAGATTCTCGCCCATATTAACTTTCTTTTTTCTGGTAATTTTTCGAGCGTTTAAAGATACGCCACACTCACGTTTTAGGTGCGGGGATCCCCAAAAATGCTTACCTAACTTTTTAAAGATGCTATTCTTTGCCCTCCCCCAAATCTAGACAAATGTGTTGTGCTTCCGGAAGTCTATCAGTTTCGATATGCGCCACACTCGCGTTTTACGCGCGGGGCTTCCAACCAATGCTTACCTAACTTTTGAAAGAGGCTACTTTTAGCCCTCCCTTAAATCCACACACGTGTATTTTTACTTCTGGAAGTCTATCGATTTGGACAGTGCTTGGATATGAGATTCTTGGCCACATCAACATTCTTTTCTCTAAAACGTTTTCGCACGTTTAGAGATGCGCTACACTCACGGTTTTGGCGTCGCGATCTCAAACTATGCTTCCTAAACTTTTTTAAGATGCTATATTTGGCCTATTGTCAAATCTACACACGTGTATTTCACTTATGAAAGTCTATTGATTTGGACAGTGTTTGGGTTGGAGATTCTCGCCCATGTCAACTTTCTTTTCTCTCGCAAGTTCTCGCGCGTTTAGAGATGCGCAACACTCGCCTTTTAGGTGCGGGGCTCCCAAC